AAGAGCGTTGTTTTGATTAGGGTGATTAAATGGGTTTGTTTCTTCCTGCGGTTTTCCTTGATAGTATTGTATAAAAAATTAAACACTCGAGGGGTAGGAGCTTAAAAAGATAGAAATACTTAAGTGCTGCTCTGATCTCTTTGAATATTGATCACTCATCTTCGGTTTGAGTCTTGTGTTGTGCTGTCTGGCTAGGTGCGTAGCTGTTTGTGTCAGGGACTTGGAGCCTCTCGTGTTCAAAAGGCATGGCTGGATTAATGGCCTTCCTGGGCTTTGTGGGCCGTACTGAGGAAGGTGGTTATGAATAATGTCCCGCAGTGACCTATGTAGTTAAAGTGGGATCATTTAAACTTTGTGCTGCTGTTAATATTTAGTAAAAACCTCTCTCTCCCACCACTGGGATACCTGCCCGGCCTTTGGGTACTTTTGCCATGAGTTCCTCAGCAAAGAAGTCCCTCCTTTCCCCACGAGCACTGGGGAACACGTTACTTGCTAAGTCAGTTCAGAACAGAGTTCCTCATGTAGCAGCATGTGGATGGCATGAGAAGCTGTTCGCTGACGTGCTTGGCAAGGAACACAATTAGTGCCAGGACTTGATTAAAGACACCTTTATTGATGATATCTTGTGTCAAGATATGTCATAACATGCTCTAATTCATTATTTCTGTAGGAGTGAAAAGCAATTTTCTCCCTTCCCCACTATAGTAGCGTGTAACTTGAAGCCGATTAGAAATGAAAGAAATAACTGAAAGGATACAATATTTTTCAGTGTTATAGAGCTGCTTAAGGGTATCATATTAGAGATTGAGGGGAAAAATATATATATATAAAATGAAAATTACTGAATTCACTTGAACAGGGCATCAAAGTGGAAGTGTCATGAGGCGAATGAGCCCTCTTCCCATTGAGGTAGGACCAGTTGCTCCCCTTTGAACGTGGCCATATCTTCCGTAGAGCTATTTTTAATACAGGTTGCAGCAGATGGTTTATGACGTCTCTTGGGTGGGATGGAGGAAGACGCACAAACAAATTAGGTGTTTGAGAGGTGAACGTACAGTTTCATCTCTGAAAAGGAGACAAATTATGTGATTTGATGGATAAACTGCTGTTAAATGGAAAACTGCAGTGGTAGGTCATAGCTTGGTCCAACATGCAGGTTTTATGCACGAAGATGTCATCGTTCAGTTTAAGGAGGAAATGTTTTCAAGAGCATCATGATTGGCATTAAAAAAGGAAGAAAACACCCAGTGCAGCAAAGTTACAGGGATCCCATGGAAAGTGTGATGATTTAGCTGGCTGGCGGGCTGGCAGGAGTCGGCCTCCCGTTTTCTCTTCACAGCCACAATACTGAAAACCATGTCTGTGGGGCACATAACTGGTGTTGTGTGTTCGTATCTCCAGTTCCAAGCATGGTGCTTGGTACTGTGCTAGTCTTGAATCTCTTGATGTAAATGTCATCATTTTCATGGTCTGGAATGCTCGTATGTGTAGGTGTAGTGTTGTGACTAATGCCACTGGGAGCCCTTGGCTGCTGGGTGAGTGGTGTAATGAAAAGTGGTTGGTTTTTGAAGTAGTTCAAATACTGAAGGTGGCACAAAAGCTTCAAGTGGCATTTTTAGTACCAAAAATGATGCATGTTATGTTTAGCTTTGGGCAGATTTTCAGAAAGGAAGTCATGCCACTATTAATAACATAGCAGGAAGCGTGAGAGTCTCAAAGCGACGTACTTCTTAAACCCTGAATAGCCTCTTTCTCTCTCTCTCTGTCTCATCTTTAGAGCACCAGCTTACAGAGGCCTGTTATTCCCACAGAATTTGGTGCTAAAGTCCCAACAAACATTCGTCAAAGATATCTCAATCTCTTCATTGATGAGTGCCTGAAATTCTGCTCCTCCTCCCAGGAAGCATTTGACAAGGTCTGTACTGATGCTTCTTATGAATAAAGTCTGCAGCAGAGAATAACATCCTTTGCCTTGGCTAAGGTCTTCTAAAATTGCAGCAAACCCAGAAAACTCTCCTAACCACAGACAGTTCTGTAGGGGAGACTGGCATTGAATAATTCCAGATGGGACAACAGAAAGTGTAATTCCCATGGGGGTTTCCAGTAGGAAATCCCATCTTTCCCTTCATTCAGAAAGCGTGCACGATCTTTTTAATAATGCCAGAAGAGGGACGTAGGGGAATGTGCGTTATGGTCGAGCTCAATGAAAAGGCCTTTTGCTCTGGTACAGCAGCAAACACCTCCTGGAATCTTAAGTGTTCAGCAGAGGTAAGTGTTTGAGATAGATGTAATTGGTAAAACTTGCTGCTTATGAGCTGCGAGGCTTTTAAGGAGCCTGCTAGCAGTAGGGAATAGTGTAGTAGGATTTCTAAAAGCAGAGTTGAGAGAGTAACGTGTTTTACTAGAAAACTTTGGCCCTTAATGTTAGTTGGGTAAGTGTGGGACGCTATGTGGTGTGTTTTGTAACCAAAGCAGATGCCACGAGGATTTCTTCTGTGGGATTCCACCTTCACAGCTCCCTAGGGGGAATGTTCCTGTTGTATCCAAGGAGTAACCATTTGCCAGATTCCCTTTTCTTGCCACTTAAGATCTTTCACTGCCACCGAAGTGGGGAAAACAGCTTTTCCCAGGCAGTTCCAGAACTGCTTTGTTAATCTGTCAGAAAAGGTTTCACGCAAAAATGCTTCTTCCAGCACTTTGTTTAAAATACAACTATTTTTTTCTCTTACTCACCAAAGCAGGCCCCAAAACCAGTATATATTTGTGCCATGTTCCACTTTATTACTCGATTCCTTGACAGGCGATTTTTTTTGCTATCATACTTGGATTCTGTATTTTAAGAGCCAAACATTTCTTTTCTCCAAAAGCAGTAGTGGAAAGAGAGCATGTAGTAATGACTTGCATTGTTTGCAGGCTCTGTCAGAAGAGAAGGTGGCTTATGAACGTAGCACCAGTCGCAACATCTACCTGAACGTGGCAGTGAACACCCTAAAGAAGCTCCGAAGCCTAGTGCCCAATTCCCCGTCCAGTACGAACAGTACGTACCACGTTTGTGGTTTAGTAATCGGAGCCCTGCTTGGATTAGAAGCCACGGAGAGGGAACTTGTTGAAAAGACAGACCCATTTCTCAGAAGCATTATGCTGAAAGGCAAACAACTCCAGTTAGCTTTTTATAGTCTGGCAAGCTTTAATGGGCCTTCAAGAGGCAAGTCCTACGATGCTTTGTTGGCTGTCTGAACCTAAATGGAGATAATGCCACATGGATTTTTTTTTTTTTTTAGCACAAGTTCTTTAAAATGAAAAGCCCCGCTAATGGAGTAACTTTCACATGATGCCTTCAAAGTGATAGACTCGTCCATCACCACAGAAATCTGTTACACACATTAAGCTTCAAGAGAGAAACGAAGAGGGTTAAGACATTTCATTATTGGCTCTCGAGAGGGTACATTAAACAATCAATTTGTGCTGTTCTTGTGAATTTTTTTTTCCTGGTCTCTTCCCTTTCTCCCCTCTGTCTTCATTACCTTCATGGCCATTAGTCAGAGCGGCTGAACTTGGGAGGCTGGCCTTTAGGAGAGGGCTGCCAGTTAATGATTAGTAAAAAGCACCTATCTGCCATTATCTGATGTGCTGAGCATATTCTAGAGCTCTGAAGCTCCTTTCTAAAAGAAGTTGAAAGATTCAGTGTGGGAGTCTGGTCTGCAGGGGCCTGACAACAAAGCCGTGCGCTGTGGGCAGGTGATCCCACCATGCAGTACATGACTGGGTCGAGTTGCTTCAGTGCTTAGTCCTCTCTTGCTTTTGGTCGGTAGGAGGCCTTGCTGGGCAGACTAAGCAGACAGAGCTACCATAGTTTCCAGCAGAACTGTAAAAATGTCCTTGCTGCCCTTAAAAAAAGTTGCTGCGGGCTGACAGTGCAAAGAGAAAGCTCCATGTAGTGCTAGAATGAAAATGCTAGGCCACCACCTCACACGTGCCAATTTCTGGAGCAGAGCAAGAATTGAAGAGGATAACTGCAGTCCTCATTCTGCCCATGTGTAGTGCCCCAAGCCCTAGGACTGAAGTCACTTACTCAGCTGGGTGCCTGATCTCTGTCTTGTTTTGCTTCTTCCCTCTTCTCGCTGCAGAGACAAGTAACAAGAAAGTGGTGTCCCATGAAGCTGTGCTGGGAGGGAAGCTTGCTGCTAAGACAAGCTTTACTCTAAACCGGTCAGGGAGCTTGAGAGCAGAGGATTTAACAGGTAAGACCCCGCTCCTGCGAGGCTGTGACCCGTAAATAATAGCTGGACGTAGAACGCTGTGACTGGGGAGAGCAGGATCTTGCTGATGCGTGAAGTGCTGTGATGTATCTGCGGGCCAGTGTTATGAGTTGTTACCTAACTGCAGTGCCGGGCTGCAGAGTTGCTCAATGAACGGTTCGCCACTCTGATCAGCGCTTTCCTGACTTCCCCACTTTGGGCTGGGAGTTCACTGATGTAGTCTGCGTGGCTTTGATGTAGCATCAGGAACTGTTCAGAGCTGCCTCTTGTGTTTTGGGTATTGCCGACTTTGGGGCTTTTATTTCTGGATTTTACTTCAACTTTCTTGCCCTGAAGCAGTACTTTACAATGTGCCTGTCGGATTAAAAGGCAAACTTACAAATATCTCCATCTGCTCTGCAGGGCTCATTTTCACGTTTACGAATGTCATAGTAAGGTCATATCGTAGCCAAAGGATTGTGCCACAAGCATTATTCGTTTTGGCTCAGATCGGTTATGGGTATTTTGGTTGCCAAGAGATGTAGGCAAATTGTTGAGGAGATCAGAGAAGAGACGGGGAGGCCACAGAGCAGAAGGAATTGACATGGAGAAAGCTTAAAAGAGCCTGTATAGCTCAGCTAAGCAACATCAAAGGGTGCACTGCAATATTGGAAGGGTTTAACGTAGCAGCGAAAGAAGAGATATTGAGCAGAGTGCAAGAAGTTATAATTATGCTGTGAAATGAAACGAGCAGCCTGAAATCAACAGCAAGAAGAAAGCTTCAGATAATGAATTTTTTAGCTAGCTGTGGGTGGCCTTTGAGGGGTATTCTCTGGGCTGTGTTGCAAATTATCAGTTAAAGTATTTGAAACATTAAGATGGGAGAAGTCTCACACTGGTAATAAAAAGGGCTGAAGATGGGCGCTTTGGAGGAATTCTGTTTCAGCTGTGTTTTCCAGACTGAATACTGGTTGTTGAAGAGGTTAAAAATCACCTTGTGCACCAATGATGAGAGTTTTAAAAATACTGCCCTGGCACCTATTTCCCTGTCAATCCTGAACAAAGGCAGTGGAAGCAATTTTAGAATAGTGGGAGTCCCTGCCGGGAGGCTTGATAAAGCAAAAAATAGTGAGAGAAACAGCCCCTCCTTAAGTGATCTGGCTTCAGCATTGTCTTTGTGTGCAGGAGCTGCCTTGTACCGGCGACTAAAGGAATATCTCATGACTGAGGAGCAGCTCAAGGAAAATGGTTACCCAATGCCTCACCCAGAGAAGCCCGGCCGTGCTGTCCTCTTCACTGCAGAGGAGAAGAAAACGCTTGACTGTAAGCTCTGCTGGCTTTTTCATTCTGTGAGGTTTGCTAGATACGTTACAACTGGAGATGCCTGTCCTGCTTGCAGCTGGTCTTTTTGCACAAAGATGTTCTTCATCTCAGCATGGAGCCGCTTGCTTCTCTTGTGATGGGTCTCCTTGGCTGTGACCCCTGTCTCTGCAGGCCGGCTGGTCAAGGAGGAGAGGATTGTGTCCGTAGAAGTCTGCTGCCTTTCTAGAGGACGACTTTCTTGAGCTTGCCTGTCACAAGACTGATTTTTTGACACAAGGTTTATAGTTTGGGGCTTGTGGGGCTGTGAGGCCGAGTGAGGTTTCTAATTGCTGCCAACAAACATGCATTGGTCGGGTTGTCTCCCTGGACGAGCTGCCTTCGGCCGCCCCCTGCGAGGGCGTGTGTTTTGCACTTGCTCACTCAGAGCAGGTTTTGACTCCAACTTTGCTGTGCTAACCTGGAGGCTCTCTGCTGCTGTTGCAAGGGAAATGGTTGGAGAGAGGCTCCTGTTCAGCATCTGGTGAACCTGAACCTCACCCCTTCGAGGGGAAGGACTTCTTTGTGTCTTTGTGCAGGTGAACTGCTGTTATGGTGGGATGCTGACCAACATTGGGCCAGGCTGGATTTGCAGTGGGTCATGCCTGGCTGGTTTGGATTGCCCAGTTTTCTGCTTGATCTCTTGATAGTGCGGGACCAAGCAGTTCCCGAAAGCCCTTTTTGCAGCTGGACGAAGTGATCCCTCAGGTTTCCTCAGGACAGGGTGGAGTCCTCCTCTGCCTGAATTTTCTGAACTCCAGTAGAAGGATTTACGCTTCTCAGAGACTGATTAGAGCAGGGCTGTGATGCAGCAGGGGTAAAACACATACTTAGGACATACTTTGAGGTGCCTTGCCACACTCCTCTGAGCATCTCTTCGGAGAGACCTTGCTGAAGTGTACTAAGTGCTCATTCATGTTAACACCTTGTGTCTACATTTGTCCTGCGGTTGCTGAAGCAACCTCTACAAAAGCTCTCCTGCGTTAACACTGTCAGGTACTGTATTTGTTAGAGCCCTTTTCTCCAGTTAACCAGCCAGCTCCTATATACAATGCTGATATCATGTTCTTGGTTCTGTTTCTGTAGTTTGTTGCAGGGTCTTTGAATTTGTTCTGATTTAATGAAATCTATTGCTAGTCTGTTAATGCTGCTGCCATGGTCAGTGGACAGAAATGGTCTGGACTGGTGTTACGTAGAGCTGAGAACATACTAGGCAGGTTAAATGCTCACACTAGAACTCGGGGAACAGCATGGAGATCAGAAGCACGGCAGTCAGCTCCTTTACTGTGTTTTTTTGTGTCTCCCTTCTCTGAATTGTGGGCAGTACAAGCACAGACGACAGGAGGCAGAAGTCCGTAATCAGCCCCTGAGCGGGCCAGGCTGTGCTGTAAGCATTCCCGTTTTTAGATGCTGGAGAACCCTTACAGAAAAGCTGTGCTGAGGAAGAACTCGAATGTCATTTGGAAGTGACAAGGCACAGATCCCCTGGAAACCAGGCTTTGTTAGCTCTGATGTCCAAAGAATGACTTATTTATCCTGTTTCTTAAAATAACTGTGTTAGAGTACAACGCAGTGTGCTGTGGCAGGAGAAACAATGCAGCAAATGTTGATGTGAACTGTGTTGGAGCTGACGTTGCGCACCAAAAACACTAGGGAGTCTTATGTTTGCCTCTGAAAAATGTCTGGGGGGGCAAATGCTACAGGGCTGCGTTTTTAGAGGGATTGCCGTGTCTTTGTGGGAGTTTGAAACAACATTTGGAACCCTTTTTAAGAGGAAAAGTTGTCTGGCCGGTGTTTGGGGCTTCAGTGATTCTGACTGACTTGTGCTTTGGCCAAGTTTGACAGGTGGAGGATTTCTAGTGACCTGACTCTTGCTTCTCTCTTCTCTTAAAGCCTCCTGCAGGATTTGTTGTCGCTGCGGCACTGAGTACATGGTCTCAGCCTCTGGCAGCTGCATTCGCAAAGAGGAGTGTGTCCATCACTGGGGAAGGCTACGCAAGCAGAGAGGTATAGCTCTCCATACAGGGCTTATTCACATGCTAGCTGCGTTCTAGCTCCGAACATAGGAATCTACCTCGGGTTTGAGTTGCTGTGGAACATTTTGTGGCTTTGGGGGCTTGTCACGCTCGCAGGTTGTGACAGTTCCTGGTTTTGGCACTGGGTGGCCCTGCTGCTGCTGAAATAGGCTTGCAGAGAGCTGCTGGAGAGTTGTGGTACGGACCCAAAAACGTGACGCTGGGGCTGGAGCAGAGTTTGTTCATCTTTCAGTTTAAAAAATGTCAAAGGAGGAACAAACTTTCCTGTGCCTTTTGAAAAAAATCAGTCTTTTTAGGGGGCTGGCTTGGGAGCACTAGGCATCTGTCACTGCGCAGGAGAGTCTACTGGTCTCCTTCACTGGAGATACTCAAGACCCGCCTGGACGCAGTGCTGTGCAGCCTGCTCTGGGTGACCCTGCTTCGGCAGGGGTTTGGGCTGGGTGACCCACAGAGGTCCCTGCCAACCCCTACCATTCTGTGATTCTGTGATTCTGTGTCTTGGATGAACTTATTCGCAGCCTGACACTAACCTAGTTTGAGCTCTGCTGTGGTTTTCCATCAAAGCATCCTGGTGGCTTCTGGAGTTTGTCTGGCTGAGTATGAGAGGCTTAAACTCTTTAGATTGCTGCGTGCGAATCCGTACTTATTTTTCCCATTTGTTTGACACATTATTGTTGCTGTGCTCATTCAGGATGTCTCTGCATGCGAGAGCTAAAGTTTAGGTCTCTCGTTAACAGGACTCTTCTCTTTGACTCTTATCTTTTGCTCTTTCAGTGCCAGGTGGATGGGAAACTCATTATAGCTGCTGCTCAGGAGCTGTGGGTTCACCAGGCTGCCAGGTTGCTAAAGTAAGTTATTGAGCAACACCTTTTTATTCTCGGTGACATTTCTTCTCTGCTTACAGTGGTGATGGCTGTGTAATTGTTGCTTGAGCCTTGAGAAGAATGGTGGCTTCCCTTAAGGAGGGAAAACAAGTACTGCTTAAATATCTTTTGCTATGCAAAGGTAGGAAAATTCAGTGTTTGGCAGGAAGGAGGAGACTCAACTGTCTGGAGTGAGGTGGTTTCATTTGCTGCAAGTAAATGCTGGTGGATTAAGCTGCCCAGCAAAAGCTCAGATACAGACTTCTTTAGGGAAACAGGGAAGAAGTGAGAAACAAGGAATTTCATTTTAAGGAGCAGGGTCAGGGCCTCTACAACAGTGATCCAAAACCTTTTTCCCATTTTTTTCCTTTCCCAGATGCCTGTGCTAAGTTAACTTTATGCTGTTAACTTTATGCCAAATCTTTTCTTGGTTTTCTGTTTACTGCGTGCTCTTTGTTGTATTAAGGGGAGGAACCTTCCCAAGGAGCCTGCTGTAACTCACAAATACTCCTTCTCTTAAGGAGGGAGAAAGGGGAAGGGATCCCAGCACTAGAAAGCAGAATAAAATACCTGCTCAGAGATGGAGGTTTGGCCCTTTGATAGACCTGAACGCTGTTTGGGATACCTTTGCACAGGTGCTTGCTTCTTTTTTTTTCCCTTAGGCAACAGGAGAGTTGGCTTCCCAGCCTGGCATCACTGGCCCTCTCGAACCATTGACTGAAGGGAGCAATCCGCCTGTTGCCTCTCCCTCAGGTCTCCGCGGATGCTCCTCGCACTTGTTTCAATGACATTTTTGTATTTGGCAGCTGCCACACAAGGGGGAGAAGCGGAATAAAGAACCAAGTGAGAGGGGATCTGTAAGGGCCATGTCCGGTGAAAGGGGTTCCTGCAGCTTACAGGGCACAAGACATCTGCTTGTCCCCTGTTTGAAAGACCTCAGGCGATACAGGGCCAGCAAGGCTGGCTGTGGGTTCTGGAGGGGCTTGTGCTTGGTCTGGCCAGAAGCTAGAGCTGGGAAGTGAGTTCTAGGGCAGAATTCAAGGCTTGTCAAAACGGGAAGAATTGTCTGTATGGACGGAAAAAAAAGCTAAAAAGCCTAAAAAAAAAAAAAGCTGCCCTGCACAGTCTGATGCATGGGTGGGATCAGGCAGGCTGCTACTTCTCCTGTTTCTTTTTCATGTGAAATTAGGATCTCTCTTTAATCAGTGTTCCAAAAAACATCCAGCAGGGAAGTCTGCAGAAATTGATGGGGCTATAAAAACATGACTTCTCTGCATGTTTTTGCGTGGCTGTTGTAGACCATAAAACCTCATGGCCTTTTAAGAAACATACAATCTCGCTAATAGCCTCTTACTCAATGAAGCATGCCGCCAGTGCTCCAGGGCTCAGGCATCCTTGCGCATCTGCCTCCTAGTTGTTGTGCTGCTACAGATCACCATGGTCTGCCTTTCTTGGTTTTCTCATCCAAACGAGGGAGTTTCACAGCATCCTTTGCTAGATTTAAGGCTGGAGTCCACAGCCTGCTGAGGATGTGCAAGGAGATATTGGGATGTTCGGTCTACTGGGGAGCACAGTATCTTTCAGCTTTGAAGGAGGGCATTGAAAACAGCAAGCTCTTGTAGTAAGAAACTGGTCTAAGTGACTGGATCTGTAGCTGCTTAGAAAAAAGCATGTCTGTGTCTTTTGCTTCCAAATGCATTTGGGATGTGCCCGTCTGGATTCTGCTGCAGTTGGCCGGCGTGGCAGGGGATGGCAGGATGGAGCTGAAAACTGCCGCTCCCCAGGAGCGGAGGAGTCTGGAGCTGATGTTCTTTGTGATAGCTGAGTCTGCTTCTTGCTCTGGTCTGAAAAGCAGAAGCAACTTCTCTGCCCTCCTCTCGGCAAGGAAGAATTGGACAGTTGCAGAACATCAACTAGTGTAGAAAAACACCTAATTTTTTTTTTTTCTTTCCTTCACTGCCCAGTTATCACTGCCTCTTGTATTACAGAGGGAAGGAAGGGATCAAGCTGCAAGGGAGAGAAGCGTTTACTATCTGTTGGCCTGGTAATCTGCTCTACCCATTTCTTCAGCAAAACAGTCAGATCACGGGCAGAAGTGCAGAATGGACAAGTGTGGCCTCTTGCTTCTGGGAAGGGATGAAAAATGCAACCTTTGAGCAGTGCTGGCTTTGGATACAGGGAGAAATTGGACTCAGTGATGGCCCAGCTACCCCGTTAACTTCAAATGATGCAGTTCTCTGTACTCTGGCTGTACCTGCAGTAATAACCGGTCCAGGAAAATCCACAAATCCTTGCTCTGGTTATCTCGCTGCTTACAGGTTTCAGGTTTACAAAGTGCTTCGGTTCCTCATGTCTCCAGCATTTCTATCCTGAGACAAAGAAGCACAGTTTGTAGGGTGGGATCTGTGAGAAGCACGATAAAGGAGGCTGTATGCAGGCTGCTGTGATTGTGCAGAAATACACTGAGATTTAGGGATACACAAAACTTGAACAAAACAGAAAACCCCACTGGAGAATAAGGGAGAGAGTGTCACCGCTGGGTGCGGTGCCGCAGTTTAATTTGACCTAAAGCCATGTTAGTGGGTAAAAGAGCAGTCGCAGCCTCTGCCCTGCCCTCGATTACGTGTTCCTGCTTCCCACCGGTGCAGTGGTGCAGGTAACTGGACCAGCGCAATCATCCAGTTCAAAACTCCCCCTGCAAAGGTGGCCTTCAGGCTGATCAGGCAGGGTGGCATTTGTGGCTGCGGAGGAGAGGGGAGTGGGAGTGCCTGTTGCAACAGCAGCTTAGTGTTGCATTGGCTTAAGCCACTTGTGAAATCACTCCCTGAGTTTCACTGGTAGCTTGAGGAGCTCTTCTGAGCGGGATCATTTTGACCCAAGAACTTTATCTTGGGATAATGAGGAGTGGTTGGAAATACTCTCCATTTATTGCCACAAGGGCTGGTAGGCCGTAGCTCCTGTTTGTCTGCAAACTGAGTGGTGTTGGAATACAGTGGCTTTTACCTGTAGGCACACACTGACATTTTCTGGTACTTCGTTACACCGGAGTTTCTCATGCCATCTGTGGTGACCTGACGGCAATGCTCCAACGGGGATGTCAGGGATTAGAGTCCTGCACCCAGGCATGTCTCAGCCGCAAGCTAAACCAGGAGCCAGCATCTGGAGTTAAATCAGTGTAAGACCTCATTGTGACCTTCTCTGGGTAATTCTGCTCCAAGTTGAAAGTTGAAAGCTACTTGTCCCTAGATGTGTGATGCGTTGCTCCCACATGAGCTGGCAATGTGATGCCACTAGCCCTGATCTGGCTTTGGAATTGGGGTTGCACATGGCCACATTTGCTGTTGTGGTGACCTTCTCAGACTGACTGGTAGGCAAAACTTATTCCTCATTAACCTTTAGAAATGATAAAAAAAAATTCTTTTTGTTTAAATGGGAGGTTCTATTGAAGCCGACTTTTTGTATTCTTCTTCCTACGGTCTACAATTGTCCCTGGTTTTTTTCTTTCCTTTAAGCAACATGTCCATGATGGGCGAAAGGAGAGCCTAGATGGCTTTGTGAAGACTTTCGAGAAGTTGCCTACGACTGATGGCTACCCTGGAATCTACGCCTTAGACTGTGAAATGGTGGGTCCCTAACCACAGGGGCAACGCACAAGCAAAATAAAGCTTTTTGAGGAAGGCTGAGGGTGCAATAGAAGGGACTGCAGGAAAATGGTTTCCCTACCATCGTTCCTTTCTGTTGTGGACTCTAAATCAGATTGGTCTTGTACATTTAAATTAGCTCTTGTTAATTAGTTTTGGCAATGTATGCTTCGTTTGTGGACTACATGCACCCTTGAAAAGCTTTGGCCGATATTGAGCAGTGTTTGCTGCCTGGCCATGCTACACAAGACGTGCTGCATTTTAGGAGCTGCAGCACTTTGGTGAATGGCTCCATGGACACCGTGCTGTGGTCGCATGCACGTGTCTTCATGTCTGCTCTGTTGCTTGCAGTGCTACACGAAGCAAGGACTGGAGCTGACAAGAGTAACTGTGATTAACTCTGACCTGAAAGTGGTATACGACACCTTCGTCAAACCGGACACCAAGGTGGTGGACTATAACACCAGGTAAGGACCGCCTTCCTTGGGTCAGAACCAGGAACTCGGGGGAATGGCTGGGAGCACTTGTTAACTCCATTGACCACCACTTCCTAATGGCTGGACGCTTTGGGCCTTAAGGTGTTCCTTTAGTGAAGGAAGCCCTCCTTTCTGCTCTTGCTCTGCAGATTCTCAGGTGTGACAGAAGAAGACCTGGAGAACACTAGTATCACCCTGCGGGATGTCCAAGCCGTCCTACTGAACATGTTCAGTGCAGATACCATATTGATAGGGCACAGCTTGGAAAGTGACTTATTTGCACTAAAGGTAACTTGCATGTCTTGTGTTGACATCTCTGTCTGGTTCTTTCCCGCCGTGGTGTGTGTTACATGTCTCCTTTAAATTTAGGAAGTGTTTCCTTCCAAGAACCAGGAGGACACAGATCTGTCTTGTCTTTGAGCCAGTGGGAAGTTGTCTGTGGTGGAAGAGCAAGGGTGTGGGTCGTGTGTGTCACTCATGGTGTCACCCTGGTTTTTGGTGACTGGTGCTGCCCAGGGTGACAGACGTCTCTAGAGGTGACTGGGGAGGGTGAATGGGGCAGGGATGGTTGGAAGGACTGATATCAAATCAGTTGCCTTTCAGCCCTGTCCGTATAGTCAAGAGTCCTCTGTTAGTGTCAGGATCCTTTGACTGGATTGAAGATGTGCTCAACCAGGGTCAGGGCACAAACAGGGAGGCTCTGGGGTCCCCTGTGCCCTCTGGATCTCCACAGTAACTATTTCATGAAATCATTAAGGTTGGAAAAGACCTCTAAGATCATCAAGTCCAACCATCAACCCATCACCCCCATGCCTGCTAAATCATGCCCTGAAGTGCCACATCTACACGTTTTTTGAACCCCTCCAGGGATGGGGACTCCACCGCTGCCCTGGGCAGCCTGGGCCAATGCTTTACAACTCTTCCATTAAAGAAATTTTTCCTAATATCCATTCTAAACCTCCCCTGACACAATATTTTAGACACAGGACAAGCATCTTCGTTATCTCTGCCACTGGCGATAATTCTCATGGTTTCCCTGCTAACGTTCAAATGTCTGTTTTCTCTGAGTGAAGTTCTCTGCCTGGTTTGCTGTGATTTGTGGTGTGACTTTGATCAAGCTATTTTGACCTTTCATCTGTCCTGTTTCCTGCCTGGCCCTAGTCAGTGTAGCCTGCACATCTCCCAACCGTCTCCGCTGTCCTGCGAGGGAGGGCTGTCCTCTCCTTCCACTCTGAACATAGATCCCCGGGGGCTTGTCCAGGGTCACCAAGAAAGCGTGCAGCAGGCAGGAGCTGAGTCTTTCGTCTGTGCTCACAAGCCAGAACTTCCTCCAGCCGTTCTTTATCGTGCAGCTTCTTTGATGAAGAAGCTGTGGCTGCCAGCTCACAGCGGTGGTTTGGAAGCAGGAGGTTTTAATGCCTGCAAAGCGCTTTACCTCTCCGTGGCACCCTTTATCCCAGCCTCTCACAGAGTTCATCATCATCATAAAAAAATTATTTACAGTTTTATCAGCACAAGACGACCGCGTCGGCCTCTTACAGGCATGATTTTCTCTTAGCATCGCAGGCACTGCCAAGAGAACAAACCCGAGAGCAATACAGCAGCGCGTGACAGGCAGTGGCATGTCAAGTCGTAATGTCTGAAGGCTGTGGCAGTAAAGTCGACATCTCGCTAATGGCCATGGCAAGCTCCAAATGGTGATAGCATTTCAATTTTTATTTAAAGCTATATTACGCTGTTTCCTCAGTCTTCCTGATCTACATAAGTAATTATCATTGTGCCTGGGTGGGTGCCAAACTTGACTGCAGTCGAGGAGAGATGATCCATAATGTTGGCAGTTTTATACTCCAAAGAGCGTAGCAGGTTGTTTCTGTTAAACTGCAGCTGTTCGCAGGCATTTACGGAGCTGGGCTATGAAAGTATTAACGACGAAGTTACGGGTTGTCACGCAACATTAGCTGGTGCCTAGGAAGAGTTGAGGCAGATGAGGAGACTGGATTATCAGGGTCCCGTCTGAGTCGTCCCGTGTCGAGCCGTACAGAGCTGTCTTTTGGTCAGGCATACAGGTTTATCTCTTAGACCTCACATTTTCCTCCTGTAGTCGTGGTGGGGGACTGCCTTCATCCACCTTGCTTTAGCTCTCACTGAACACATATTCTTGGCAACAGAGGATTAATCTCGTCTTCACCTGAGAGTAATAAATCAGTATTCAAAAAAAGCCAGCTTACCCTTTGTTTATGGGCTCTGTCAGATGTGCAGAGTAGGTAGCATGTTGACCTGTTCAGCATCTTCAGTTCCTCCAGCATGACAACACTTCATACCTGGAGGACAGCAAACCTCTTGCCTCTCCTGTGTGCCCAGGCACTTTGACTCAAACGTGGGCCTGGCCAGGGCCGCCCTCCCACCCACTCTGTAGTTCCTTCTTCCCAGAAGTACCAGATCTCCTTGTCCTACTTCATCCTTGCAAAGCCGGTGCTGGTTAAAAACTTCCTGTTGACTCACTGTTGACAGACTGGAGGTTCTCAGGTTTGCACCTGGAAGGTCAGGCCTTTTTTTGTAGAACCAGTGTGATGTGCAATGGGTTTTGTACGGTTTTCACTTGAACATCCTTCCCGCTTCAGTCCGTGTCTTGGGCAGCAGTTGAAAGGCTGTTAGCAGCTTTGTGGGGTCAGCTGGTTCCTTGGCTTAGTCTCTCATTGCGAAAGCCACTCTCGGAGGTGCGCCAGCTTCTCCAGGCCAGGGTATTAAGGATTGACCCATCCTGTCGTTGGAGTTACACAAACTGGATCAGCCCTGAATTTCTGCTGCTTTGAATGTCCAAGGTAGGCAGGGCTTTGAGGGCAGGTGTGTTGGCTGGCAGAGCACTGGAAAGCCTGCATGCACGCACCCTTGAAGGGGGAGTCATCTTTGAGTCAGCCAGAGCCTCTTGCAAGACTGGTTGGGTTGGAGCTTGGCAATCTCCTTCTCTGGAGATATTCCAGACCCGCCTGGACGCGGTCCTTTGCAGCCTGCTCTGGGTGACCCTGCTTCGGCAGGAGGTTGGACTAGATGACCCACAGAGGTCCCTGCCGACCCCTACCATTCTGTGCTTCTGTGATAGCATTACACAGAGCCTGAGGGGCTGACCGGAAGATTGCTTTAGCATGGTTCATCCTGAGGAGCGTCCGTCCCTATGGGAGAGGGAAAATAACCGTGTCTGTCTCCTGCTCCCTCCCTCCAGCTTATCCATGGCACAGTGGTGGACACCGCGATCGTCTTTCCCCACCGGCTGGGTTTGCCTTACAAGCGGGCTCTCCGGACGCTGATGGCAGACTACCTCAAGCGCATCATCCAGGACAATGGTGAGGCCAAGGAGGAGCTGAGGCTGAGGGTCTCGTGTCCTGTCCCACCTGGATGTGGGCTCCTTCGGCCTGCCTTCCTCCGCTCTCCCCAGACCCCGGCCTCTTGCGCCTGATCTTTTTTTCCTGCGTAGTGTCTGGCAGTGGCTGTGAATGGGCCAACACATGAAGTCTCTGCCACAGAGAGTTTCAGTTTGAACCCTGTTCTGAGGGCCAGCAGCGCTTGCTTCTTCCCTCTCTGTGCTAAGGGGGGACCAGAGAAGTGGTATGAGAAGGCCAGAGGCAGCTTTATTAAGGCTGTGCCCTCCCTCCTGTCTTTGGCAAACCGGGACTGACCTGTTTGAAGCGTGGCATGTTCCTTTCTGTCTTCCCTGAGCATGTTGTAGACATACAGCTGGGGAAACCGAGGCCTCTCTGAGCAGCTACTCCATAGCCTGAGGGCCTACAGGCTAGCAGGACTTCAGCCGTTAACTTAAGTCCAGCAAAAAATGTGGAAATTCTTCTACTTTAAATCCATCACGGGGGTTCATGGTGACTGAGGTGCACCAGTGGCTGCTGTGGCAGAGGGCAGTGAGCAGCTGGGCCAGCAGTGTCGGGCAGGACCGCGTCTGGGGAAGCCTTCCTCTGTGCTTTGTGCCGTGCCCCCGGGCAGCGGAGGGGCTGCCGGGGCCGAGGTGGTAACAGCCATCCTTGTCTTTCTGTCCCCAGTCGAAGGGCACGACTCCAGCGAGGATGCCAGAGCTTGCATGGAGCTGATGGTCTGGAAGATCAAAGAAGATGCTAAAGTGAAACGATGACTTGCGCTTTCTCTCTCTCCTCTTCCTCCTCCACCTCTTTGAAGCAGTGCAATAAATGCCCAGAGTAACACTGTCCACGCAGCAGCATGCTACCCCAGACTCCCCGTGCACTCGCAGGTATCTACAGGACTTACGGACTGCTGCTGGCGCAGCTGAACGGCGCCGGCTCACTGCCAGCAGGTCCCTGCATCCGGGCAGCGGCTCTCGGATCCTCTTCGCTCCGCCTGAGGGTTGTTCTGTGGTACGACAGATGCCTCGTAGGCATGGCAGGGTGGTTTTGGGGAGCACAACCAGAGAGAACTTCGGTTCCTAGGAGAAGCTTTTAGAGGTAGGTTGGATACGTGCAGAAGGATCTTTCTGGTTCACTTAAAGGTAGATCTTTTTCTTTTGTTTTTTTTTCCAAATGTAACTTAAATTGCCTCTCCACTCCACAGCTGGTAGATTCCCGCAGTGTTCGGAAGCGGAAGAAAGTTGGGTGCGAAGCTGTAAAGTGAGTGGATTGTGTAGCTGTTGTGTGAACAGCAAGCAAGGGGTGGCGAGAGCCGAGGCTCGAGCCGTCTGGGAGGAGATCCTAGGGCATCCCCGCTGTGGAGGAGAATGGCAGAGCTGCGAGAGAGCGAGGCTGTCTCTGAGAGCTTGGGTCGGAGAGGAATGAGACGGGGTCAGGGGAGTTACGGCCTGCTGCGCCCCAGGCGATCTCTCCGGTGAGGGCTGGCATCCTGGTTCTGCAGCGCTGCGGGAGGGAGAAGCCACCCATGCCAGACCTTGCCCAGACTGCGGGGAGCTGGATGTGGAACAGCGAGGCAGGGGACAGCGGGGCCGGCACAAGTTGGGCTCCCAGGGCCACGCAGCGACTTGCAGCCGTGTTGGGGAGGACAGTGGCGAGGGCAGGCATCGTGTCTCTGCGGGTTGGGACGAGCTGTCCTTCGCCTGACCCTGAGCTTCCAGGGTGTCTCCGGCGAGCTCCTATGTAGGGATCAAGGTCTTGGGGGGAACCTCGGTGCAGCGAAGGTTGCACCCAGCGGTGGGCCCTGGCAGTCTGCAGGGCTCCCCACCAGCCTGTCCCTGATTGCAGGGACTTGATGCGGGCCAGAGCAAAAGCAATAGGTAAAAATTACTCTTTTAAACTCGTTTACATGTTGGGTGTTTTAAGAAGAGCAAGAGACCCAGCTGTTCGTTAGGAGCGTGTCCGTCACGCTTGCAGTATCTGGGGCGGGAGCAGAAGCAGGCTGGATGGCTCTGGTGGTCCCTCTGCCCGGGCTCCGTTGGTCCTGGGGGAAAACCAGAGCTGACTGAGATGGTCCCTGAGAGATGAGATCTTCTAGCTGAGGTCCAGGCAGCAGCTCAGCCCCGTTATTAGAGCAGCGATCGCCTCGGCCCTCGCTGGCGTCGCTTCCCGGGTGGCTGGTGCGGTTCCAGCCCCGCGTCCCTGGCCCGGGCTGGCTGCAGCGGAGCTGCTGGGTTTCGGTGTCTGTCAGAGCCCCCGGCGCGTCCTGCTGACCCCTGCTCCGTCCCCAGCGTGGGGCTGGGCTGCGTCCCGCGCACAGAGGTCTTCTGTGCGGGCCGGAGGGTGCTGGCACGTGTGCGAGCCCAGGGACGCTCTCCCTGTCCCACTGCTCCCACTGCTGTCCTCGAGGCGCGGATGTGGCTGGCCGCGCCCGGCCCCCTCCCGGCCGGTGGAGCCACCCCGG